TTATTTTCTAATGCTACATATGATAATAGTCGACTAAGCCGACTTAAGTTTAATTAAAATTATCAACTCGAATAAGCTTATACAGTCAGACGCAACATCTCTAAACGCAACCTTTAATTCTGGTCCAAATATATACTAGACTCCCATAAATGCAATTCTCTAAATGCAAGCTGTCAAAATTCTGGTCCCTACGAATTGCATTTAGGGAGATTTGACTGTAAAAATTTTATCGACTACAAACACTAGCTGATACATATAATTTAAGCACCGATGACTTAAATGATTTGCTAGAGGGGTTAACCCGCTTGATCTTGTCCGGTTCTAATAGAAAACCATGATTTTTTTTAAACCGTTATTATATGTTTATTACGCATACTAAACAACAAGGAACAATTATATTAAGTATAAATAAAACCCCAGGGTCTTATTCAAAACATTCATTTTTTAAATTGATAATACCAAATATTGACATGCAATAGTCCCGAGGCGTTATTTCAAGACAATTTCTAAAGAATTAATTGTGCTTCAAAATAACGCCCGAGGCGTTATTTCGCGCAAATACGGTAAGTCCAGTGACTCTAGCTCCAGTGATTTTCACTGATTGGCGTGACTGATATTTTGTGTGGCTGATATAAAATAACAATATAAAATCGGGCGTTTAATCCTTTAGAAACCGGAAAATCAAACAATGTCAACTCGCGTACCTAACGAAGAGCTTTCGATACTTGAAGCCTTAATTAACATAAGAAATCGTCTACAGGCCTTAAAAAAGGATCAGCAGAATTCTGTAAAGGTGCAGGCGGTCACGAAGATTTATGACGAGGTATATTCACCTATATTATTTGATCGTCAAAATGAAATTTTAATGAAAATTTGACTTTCAACATAGGTCACGGAACAAGTTACAAGATTAAATGACATTCGCGAAAGAGCTACAGAGCCTCCAGTGAATGATAATCGCGTCAACGATGTACTTGACGATGTTTTCCAACTACTTTCTTTATTTTTTATCACGATTGGAAAAAGCAGGGAAAGTCCAGCAGCTCACGTACAACTTGCCACGATCAAGGTGGGTTGGTCTTTATCGCCGTTGCTGTTTATTTTTGAAGCCTATTTTTCGAGGGCGTAATTTTTGAATTTAAAGTTCGTAATAATTCTACGGTGAAAATTCTATTCTTGCCCGCAGCAATGTTTAGAATATCTTAACGAATTCGGTGCATATACAAAAGGTTAGTATAATATATATATATATATATCTCTCTTTTTTTTTTTGGTTTAAAAAAATAAATTTTTAAATTTTCAAATTAATAGATGAGATATTAGCATATCAAAATCGTCTAAACGAAATTAGAAACATTATAGATGCTGAACGGGATGAGGTTATACCAGAACCTCAAATGAAATTATTGAAGAAGAAGATTGTTGCGTGCGGTGTGGATTTACTTTTTTTTTTTAAAAAAAAAAACCCCCCGTTTAGAATACAAAATATTAAATTATTTTAATGAATAGAAACGGTACTGAATCAACTATTTGAATCTGTGTCAAATATGGGTGAAGAACTTGTACCCATTCATCAATCCCTTGTAGATATCAAGAGAAATCTTGGTGCTATAGGAGCCAAAGGCAAATTTGAGATTTCTGATATCATACCATGTCAAAATAAGCTAAGAGACATTGATTCTAAACGTGTGGATGGCAAGTTTTTGTCATCTGATGGAAGTATACCTTCAGGTCAGGCACAGGTTATTGGGTTGCTGGAGGAATGTTATGAAGACGC